ACTTAGTCTCCCCTAGGCTCCTGCTTAAATAAAAGGTTATTATAAAAAATAATGAAACATTAATAATTATTACTTTTGCTATATAAACAATTAATACATAGACAATGTGACGTTAATTTGAGTAAGCTTGCTTCTATTGAATGTTGCTACAGTCTATCGTTTCACCTATCGTAAACTAACTGGCTCAGTGTTTTGTTTTTGCTAGCATCACATAAAAGTACAAACACGTGTTCTGTGTACTACACGAATGAACAGTCGGAAATTCATATTAATAATCCATTCAATCATTTTTTTTTTTGTTCTAATGCAGCTGGCAAACACTTAGTAGACAGCTAGGTCTTGGATGCCTTAAGGCAAGCGCTGCACAGACGTACTCACTTTGCATTACCCAGGGGGAGCGTGTAACTTGAAGATAAGCCACGGACGAGGAGTAACAACGCCGCCGCAACGCTCTATGTTCCTATTAGGACCGGGACCTACGGTTTAAAGTGGATTCCGAACCACTACAAATATCCATGGCACCGCCGGGATTTGAACCCGAAACCTGTGGTACTGAGCGCCAGAGCGCTAGCCACTCGGCCATTCAGGCCTCCATTCAATCATAAATATGGTTTATTTAATAACGTTGAAAATTCACGTTAAAAAAAATTCACGAACGTTTCATTCATTCGCTATATTTAAGTGAAAATATTCCTTAAAAATGTTTACAATATAAGAAAAAGAAAATAAGTTTTACTGACAGTATTTAGTTTTTCGAGTAAATATTGGATAGTTCATAAATAATATACTCAAACATTTTAATGTTTTAAAATTCATACACTATTTATTTAATCACGACGAAATAAACTGGATAAAAAAAGGTTAACTGTTTCACAGGAACGCTTCTATGTCCGTTTATAGCATTTGGTGAGACATCGCCCACCTGAATTACGCCAACGTATTACATTGCATATTACATCGCGTAGGCCGCTGTAATAGAAAACTCTTTCATAATGTGTGATATGCTGCAGTCATAAAGTGAAAAAGTTCTTTTCGTGGGTTAACGATTGAATTTAAGATCATTATTACTAATTCAAAGCATTTTGAATTTTTATTAACTTATGAATTTTACATTATTTTAAGAGTAACAATTTTCCTTGAAATTTTCAAGAATATAACTTCCCATTATTTTAATTTTCACTCCTTTCGAGATGCATAGAATTTCTTTTCTCAAAATTAAATTTCCATAAAAAATATTTTAAATTCATAAGAATATGAAATATTGAAATTAATTTGCATAATTAAGATTTTTGCATAATTAAGATCAAAAATTAAAGTTTAATCTAAAAAAAACCAAGAGATAGCAAAAATTTCATATTGTTTAAAAAAACCAAGATTGTAAAAAATTATTGAGTTTAATCTAAAAAAATAATCTGTTCATATTGTTTAAAAAAATTCCAACATTTCTAAATATATAAAAACATAATGTTCTGAGTATAATGTCGAAACAACAATGTATGTAAATGTCGAAAACATAATGCACAAAGTAAGTTATCAAAAGAATACTTAAATTAAAATTTGTTTTGGCATTGGACAAATAAATTAATTTCACGTTATTTTTCTTACAAACATAAAGCTGTATTCCGTACTACAAAACTCAGCTAACTTGTTTGATGGCCAGAATATCCTTTCTTTCAAAGTAGTTAAAATACCAAAATTCTACCAGCAAAATAAATGTTTTAAATTGATCCACTATTAAAAACCACAAGGATAAAATTAAAGATGAAGTTGGTTACATATAGGAAAATGTTAGTTTATTATTAATTTTCTATCAAACGTTAACATACAATTACTGTACACAATAATCGATTTCATTCATCCATGGTATTAATAATTACAGCAACATTGTTTGATAACTTTGATCATTAAAGAGACAACTTCTGCCAACTGCTCTGTTCTTTCAAAAAGGTAAAGTCTAAATGAATGTATATGAATCAATACGCATCGAAAATTTTCGGATCATTTGAAATCGAAATGCACAGACTTCTGTCCGTCGTTGCCTTGTGTGCTATTCTTCTTATAATCTGTTGTTGTTTTGTTGTTTCTTATCCCACTTGGCTGGCCAAGCCCACGAGCCCATACGTACTCATGATTGAAGGGGAAGGAAGCAGCTTCTGTTGTGATGGAGCGCCCGTAGGTAGAAGTCTGACTTTGGCTCCGTGACGCTCTTACAGTCATAGGAGACCGGGACCTACGGCTTAAAGTGGATTCCGAACCACTACAAACATCCATGGCACCGCCGGGATTCGAACGCGAAACCTGTGGCACCGAGCGCCAGAGCGCTAGACACTCGGCCATTCAGGTCCCAAATTTGACAACGGCACGCGGTGTCCCCAGGTGGTCACCCACCCAAGTACTGACCGCGCCCAATGATGCTTGACTTCGGTGATCTAACGAGAACTGGTATATTCAGCATGGTACGGCCGTTGGTATGTTATAATCTTAATTTAGTAAATAACCAAGTCATATAGTAAATATTTTTTTAAGAAATTCTAGACTTAAATAAAATAATCATAAGAATCCAAGAATCATAAGAATCATTACAACAATTGGAATAAAGCCTATTTTTCAAAGATAAAGAGTTATGATTTTTGTGAATAAGACAGTAGTTGCACTGCGGGCACAATTCAATGTATTTGAATTTAAATGTTCTCATAGCCATTAAAATAAGTGAACCAATATGAAATTTTGGGAGCCAACTGAAATTTTACATGTGTGTTTGAATTGCAGTCACAAAATTAAAGCAAAAAGATCATTTATTGCAATAAAGCTCACAAAGGAAAAACAGCGCCTTCAAATTTTCATAATGTAATAAAGTCTCACATTAACGCATAAAGGATACTTATGATGTGTACTATGTGTGTCATTCCACAATTACTGTAGTTATACTTATGTTCTGTCTAGGTCCTTTGTTGTACAACTTCCACAAATTTCTATGCTATCTCACAAATTTTCGTTTGGTGAAAAATCTAATCAGGCGGAACAAGAAAAAGAGATAATAATAGAGACAATAGAGAGTTTTTGCATACCGTACGTTAGTTACCGTAGGACGTCCGTTAGCTTTTCCTCCCTAGCGCGCATGCTCATAGGAAACATTATTACAGATACGCATGCGCAGTTTCCTATGAGCATGCGCGCTAGGGAGGAAAAGCTAACGGACGTCCTACGGTAACTAACGTACGGTATGCAAAAACTCTCTAATATTCCTGGGTGAGGCCAAGTATTATCGTTTTAAAAAATATTTCCTGTGAGAAAGAGAGACAATACTTGTGATCTTACCATGAGAGCAAAGATTGTGTTGAACATTTCGTGACCTTCATGATATCACAAAAGGTTTGATCGTAGTGTGAACTCCAAAGAGCAAGCAGCATTGAAGCGTTTACAATGGAGCCTCCAGTCACGAAAACTGACGTTTTACGGTTGTCATCAGAAATAAACTGAGTCGTGATTGGTCGCTGCTGATGATTTTTCCCAACCATCACAATCCAATCTCGCCAATCAACACACCAATTCAAAAAATGTGATTATACGTGGAAGATCACGTAACAAGCCTGACGATAGTAAATAATTGTTATTTGTGAGCCTCACTATGGTAAGAACACAGAGGCTCCTGCAGATCATGCTTCCTGTTTTCGGATGTTGGGTAATAATGAACTCGAATGTGTGCGTATGTTATATGTCAAGGTAGCTATCTCAGTTGTGGTCCTAATAAGTCATAATTCCGTGCGTCCGTTATCAACCATTGGTCATAATATTCTACTTTCAGTATTGTCAGAATGGGAAAGATGGTGAAAATTCGTCGATCTGACCTCCTAGCTTCTACCATCACCATCATTCGTGTACTTTCATATTTCTAAAGCTGCTGATATTTGATTCAAAGAAGCGTAATGGCCTCTCTGAAGACAAAACGTCCTGCTATAGCAGATAAACAGCATACATAATACTTCAGAACGATTTATGCATAAAATAGAGGAACACTAACGCCCTTTATTTGCCTTATGTAATGCATTATTCTGCTGCAATTTTAATAATTTGCATATGAATTTGAAACAAACCTTCAAGCCAATTTTCGTAACGGTTCAACTTTTTTTTTTTTTTTTTTTTTTTTTTTTTTTTGGAGGGGGGAGGGAGTTAACCTCATGGTAATGACGACATTCAAAATACATAAAAATTAAAAGCAAAGTTCATAAGAAAAATGCGACACTTTTCTTTCAAATTCAATAACACAGTTCATAAAATTAGAAAACAAGAATAATAGGTATACAACAATAATTAAAAGTAAAATAGCTATGAATACATGCGATATTTTATCTGTAAAAGTAATAATTTTTGTAAGCAAAAACTTTTGGCGCATTACAAATACAATTATTTGCTCGACAAAAAACAGTTTGTTTCCATATTGGTTTAAAGAAAATAAGTTTTAAATTATTTTTTAACAAACAAGACATTCCATTTATTTATCTGTTTAATATTACAAGACATTCCATCCATTTACTTATTTAACAATTCCTTAAATTAAATAACGTTGAAGGAAGGCTATGTTACCTTACATCAAATTATATTATGGTCTGTGAATTATATTTATTCTAAAATACGAAGAAAAATAAATAATACTTTTTTATCGATAAAAATAGTGATAAACAGTTCATATATTTTGCAGGGAAAAAAATATGTTGTTGTTGTTCTTTCTTATCCCACTTGACTGGCCAAGCCCACGAGCCCATATGGACTCATGATTGAAGGGGAAGGAAGCAGCTTCTGTTGTGATGGAGCACCCCGTAGGTAGAAGCCTGACTTTTGCTCCGTGACGCTCTTACAGTCATATGAGACTGGGACCTACGGCTTAAAGTGGATTCCGAACCACTACAAACATCCATGGCACCGCCGGGATTCAAACCCGAAACCTGTGGCATCGAGCGCCAGAGCGTTAGACACTCGGCCATTCAGGTCCCAAATTTGCCAACGGCACGCGGTGTTCCCAGGTGGTCACCCACCCAAGTACTGACCGCGCCCAATGATGCTTCCTTCGGTGATCTAACGAGAACCGGTATATGGGAAAAAAATATTGTTAAGATTATCGAAACCTTAACATAGGATAAATATCTTCACGAAAGTTAATAAGTTGAAATAAGAGAACGAAATAGTTTATTGTGATATTTATTTAAGATTATTTTATCTTCATTTATTAAGTATATTAAAATAATTTCACATGTAAGCAATTGCTTGTTGTATACGAGGAACATTGGAAAAGCCCCCAGGCAGTCTGAATATCAATGCCAGACGCTTTATTCGCATTATCATAACAGCTATCAAATCCCCTAGGTTCTGAAAACAGTGACTGCAATAGAAGCCACTAACGTCATGAACCCTTCTGCACACTAAATACGCAGGTTGTCATTGAGGTAAGAAAATATAGCATTATATATTCAATTAAGCACATGCAACAATGTTTATTTAAACACTTTCTTTATCTTTCCTTAATTGATAAGTTCAGAAAGTGGCAAAATTAAAAATTGTTGGAGGAACTTGTTTCACTTTATATAAAATACATGAGGCAGTAAAACCAGATTTGTCACTTCAAAAGATAAATATTTGAACAGTTGGTAGTAAAATATTTATTATTTGAATATGCTAAATTTATTAAATCTTTCTAATTCAAATATTTGTTTAGGAAAGTTAACGAAAGATATAACTAATCTATACTCTCTACAAAGTAGTTAATTTTCTTCTAAGTTGACTTATTTTTTTGTCACGATGAAAAAAAAAAAATAACTAAATATTTTTTTTTTCAGTGAAGATAGTGAAAAAGTTATGAAAAAAATCATTAAAGGTTAAATAATTTTTCAAGAACATTAATAACTAAGACGATAATATTAATTTGAAAAACCGTACAGTATTGGTTTTATAAAATATTGACAAAAATTATTAAGAAGGTGTTTAAAAATAATTTAATAAATGATTATAAAGTTTAATATTTATTTTAGAGACTTTAATGAAATAAAACTTACATTTTTAGTCATGTTTTTTATAGTTTAAAAGTTATTTTAATGACTAAACATAATAATTTGATGAAAATAAAATTTTTTTTTTTTGTCCTTATACAATTTTAAAATATTTCATAATAAATTACTTAGATTGCATTAAAAATATTTTTTTTTTCATTAGTATTTTATAATTGAAATATGAATTGGTGAAGTTACTTATTGCTTTTGTTTTTCAACTTTTCAAAGGTGGTAAATGTATTTGTTTTGTTTTTGTTATTGTGCTTCAAATTAAGTACGCTACCTATTCTTTTTTTTTTTTTCTTACTTTTCTGCCTCCTTTTATTTTATTTTTTTCAAATCTTTGAGTTTTATGTAGAGTGAGGTTAACTACTTCATAAACAAAACTGATTTTTATTTAACATTTTTAGTTTACATCATTATAGCATTCTTCTCTTCTGGATTTCTCCATCATAAGTACAGATGCTAATCCAAACATTTCTTACCGCGTACATTCAGACCTGTTTGAAAGTGACCATTTACCAATTCAATTGTCCTTCAATCTCAGTCACCAACTTAAAAAATATAGACAAGCCATCAGTTGTCCTAAACTTATTCATTCTCTTCATGATCATAAACATTCCTTATCTATATTTGAAACTTATTCTGAGTTACAAGATTTTCTTTCAACCATGTCACAAAATAATACAAAAAATTACACTATTCTCATAAATCATCTCAACCTTGATGGAATTCAAAGTATGAAAATCTCTTGGCATCTCACTCTAATAAATCTTCCATAATACAATGTATTCCTTTGGGCTTTTCTGCAAATTCCTCTCGTAACTATGATAATCCTTTCCCCCTCTTTGAACCTACAGATGCACGTAAATCAAACGCCCGACAACTGGAAATGACAAAATTCCAGCCAAATTTTTCAAAATCTTCCCCAATTGCTACCTTCAACAATTTTTACGAATATTTAACTATATCTGGATCACCGGCAACATCCAGGAAGAGTAGCTTACTTCTCAAATCCTTCCTTAACCTCAAACTAAATAAAGATAACAATTCTAATGCATTTTATCGTCCAATTCTTTAACTTCCATCTTAAGTAAAATTCGAAAGGATCGTTCAAGAGATTAATTCATTTCCCAGATTCCAAAAAATTTCATTTTCACCATTCAAGTTTTATCCTTTTCAAACCGTGCTTGCAAACCATTGATTTACAATTAGGGCCCTTGCTGCTGACGTTGGAATTTCAAAAGGATCGGTCAATTCCATTTTTGGGCCTCAAACGCTTATCACGTATATAACGTATTTAACGTCAAACCTCGATCGGTACCGAAAACACTGCATGCGCTATCTCACACTGCATTGATTCTTCGTGACTTTTTCACCAAAAATGAAACCCATATAGTTCCACAACCACCATATTCACACCATGAAAATTCTGGCTATTCCTTAAACTCAAAACACTACTCCGGGGACACCGTTTAAGTCGATTGAAGAGATTCAAAGTGAAACGCCGCGCGCTTTGAAGGCCAACCCTGCCGATGACTTTTTAGCACGCATTGAAGATTGGAAAAAAAGTTGGCATAAGTGCATTGTGTCCGGAGGGGATTACTTTGAAATGGATGAAATAAATTTGGAAGAATAAATAAAGAGTTTTTGAAAAAAAATAATTGGTCTTACTTTTTGGACACAGTAGTAAAACTTCGATCAAACACTCAATATCCTGCATTAATTTTTTATCTCAAGAAAATTCATCTGCGATGATCTCAAATTACAATAATATTTTTACAGCTGAAACTCTCGCACTAATATTATCCATCCCGACATATGTACTTGAATCATACCATTAGATTATGTTATCAGATTGTCTCTCTGCCCTTAGAGATCTCCAAAATTGTAATTTTAAATCCGCATGAGTTATCAAACTTCTTGGAGATTATCTGTTCTCCAGGTCAGGTTGTCATAACCAAAAATGAACAAGCAGATTTCTTAGCAAATTCTACATCAGACACAATGATTTTAAATCGGGAATCTCCTTCAAACATCATCTTTCATAAAAAAAGACGTTTGAAAACTCAGATGAAATACTTAATGATGAAGATGATTCAAAATTATTAATATTAATAAATTTATTCAATTCCTTCTATTAGCTCACACTCTCATTTATATCTTGTTCAAATGTTCAATCGTTAATAAAATACTTTTTATTCATCCACTCAAATTCAAATACATTTTTTTTAACTTGTAGTGGATGATAATTTATGTTAATACAGTTTTTTCAAATATTAGTTCAGTAAATTTAATTAATTAATTTTAGTTTTTTTAGATTTAAGTTGCATATATCCACCAATAGATGGCTCCAGATAAACTTAAAAAAGGAAAAAGTTATTTATAAAGGACTTTCTGCAATAAAGTGAAAAAAAAGTAGGAATTGACTTTAAAATTTTTTTTTATATTAATTTTTAAAATATTTTAAATTATTCAAAATTATTCTAAAATTATTTTTAAATAATTATTCAAAATTTTAAATATTAATATATTTGTATTTTTATAATAATTCTAAAATTATTGATAATTTCCAAAATTTTCGAAATTCTTTTCAATTTCAAAATTTATTTTCAAGAATATTTGTTTCAGTATTCCCTGGTGTACGTTAAAATATTATTCGCTAGCATTATTTTCGTTTATAGTAGTTCCGAGTTCCAAAGACACATTTACGTCAGAATCTTATCTTCTTCAGCTCTGCTCTCCGAGCATATACAAAATGATTTACACAGCGAACCGTTTTTCAAGCAATAGAGCATGCCGAACCATACGGTAAACTGTGTGGCGATAAATCGTCGAGATCTGTCCGGTTTTATTTATTTATTCCCCTCGTTATTAAAGCACCCAGATGCGAAAGTTATTGTAAAGCATTCGCCAGCGAGTCTTCCTTATGTCCGTAATAATTCAAAAAAGCTACAAAATTGCCAACCCGTGTGTTTCTTAAAAAATTTACTTCCAGCCGGGAGAAACAAGAAATATCACTTCTAAAAATGAAACGAATAATACTGTGTATGCTCCAGAGTGTCGTTCCCGAAAGAATACCGGAATTCCAAGGAAGGAATTACCATTTCCGTAGACTGATATTTTTCAATGGGAGTTTGAGTTCTTTTTTGGAGCAAAGTGGTGCACAGCGGGCGGTTTAATTTCATGAAAAAAGGAATGTTTTTTTTACTTAAAAATTAATCTCAATATTTTATTTGAATGGTGAATTATAGAAGTGTTATTGAAAAGTACATGTTTAAAAGAAGAAACAAGTAATATAAAAAAAAATTAAGTCAATTCCTACTTAGGTAAACAAAGAAAAAATTTATTTTAGTTACTTCCAATTAAATAATTACAATTAATATAAATATATATATACATATGACAGAATCACAATATTAAGTGGCAGAAAAGAAAGCGAATTTAATTGCAATTTTCCATTTTCCTTTCTATATATGGTGTTGGACTATTAATTTTGTTTGTTACTATTTATTCGCTTTCTATTTTTTTTTTTTTCGTTTATAATTTATGAAGCTAATGGTGGTCTATAATTTCTCATTCTATCTATTTCTTATAATGCTTTATTATTCTTTGAATTAGCATCACTTTGCATTAGTACCATAAATATCTCTTTATTTATTTTTCTGAAAAAAATATTATTAAAATAAAACATAATAAATAAATAATTATATTGCATTATAAAACTGAAATTTACTATACATAATCCTGGAAACATATATATAGCATGTCTCAAGATATATAAAATGTATTTTAATTTATAAATCGAAATATTTAATATTTATAATATTTTAATGCTTATTAACACTTCCAATACAATTTTTGGAATGTTTTCCATAAATATATTTCTATAATAATAATATTCACGTTTTTTAAATATGTATCATTTTACAAAACTTTAATTCTTTTTAATTCTCTCTAAAGAATGTCCCATTTATTCAATTTAATTATCATAATTTAATTATCATAATCTTTTTAATTCTTTGAGTTTTTATTAGTAAAAGATTTACTG